CGCTGGAGTTCAGTGGTATGATCCTGGCTCAATGCAACCCCTACCCGCTGGATGTAAGCAATTGTTCTGCCTCGGCCTCCTGAGTATCTGAGGTTACAGGTTCCTGCCACCACGCCAAGCTAATTTGTGTGTTTTAGTGGAAACAGGGTTTCACTATGTTGCCAAGGCTGGTTTCAAACTCCTGGGCTTAAGAGATCTGTCCTCCCCAGCCTCCCAAAGTGCTGGGGATACAGGTGTGAGCCACCACGTCCAGCCTCCACCTAGTTTTTTCAACAATTATTTGTTTGTCTTGTTCAAGGTGGTAATAACTTTTTCAAGCAGGCACCAGATCTCACTCACTTTTATATTCCTAGAACTATGTTTCCTGCCCATGGTGGCATCTATCCATCCAACAGAGTGAAATCTATACACCTACCAATTAATCTATAAAGGTTTGTTGAATGAATAAATTTTTTAAGTCTTTTTCTTTAAGTCAATATATCAGAGCAAATCTTACCACTAAGAAATTTGAGAAAGTAGTGTGACTTTTATGGTCAGCTCTGTAACCAAAGCTGGAGAACTGGCTTCCAATTGTTCTTGCGTTCGTTAGTCTTGGCCTTCAACAAACTAATATGGCATCCACAACAGTGGTTGGGGTTTAACTGCTGATTTGAGAGGAATCTGAAGTGTGTTCACAAATGCCAACAATTCTTTAATGTGCCCTTAACTACCTCGGAGACATCACACTGGCCCTTGTTCTCCTGACATTGGTTATTTTGCAGATTTACGAAGCACCTTTTCTTGAACTGTCAATCTGTAAACTGTCTGTAAAATCTAGTCCAGAGGGTAAAGGAGTGGAATTATTCATAAGATAGTTTCTACCTCAGCTCATGGCAAAATTACTCACTCAGGGTATAATTAAGTCATAGACACACTGGCCCAAATGTGGATAGAGGGGAAACAGAAGTAATTCCCATACCAATTTGAGTGCTTTCTGACTTTGATGTTCAACAAGAATCTGTTATATTCCAGAACAGAGGGGACCCTAGGGTCCCCATAAAGGGAAGAGAGGTGGGTTGTGTTGTTTTTTGTTTTTCAGAGAATTAGAGAATAACTGGAGGGGGAGGGAAGGGATAAGCAGAGTTTAAAAACTTTAAACAGGATGACAAGAGTGAAATCTGATAGGTAAGGAGTGAAGTTGGAGCCTTAGACAGGCAAAGGCTGCCAAAAGGAGGACTCAGGTGAGTGGTTCTAGACCAGCAGTCCCCAACTTTTTTGGCACCAGGGATGGGTTTCATGGGAAGACAATTTTTCCATCAACCTCAGGGGGAGGGAGATGGTTTCAGGATGATTCAAGTGCATTACATTTATTGTGCACTTTATTATTACAGTTTAATATATAATGAAATAACTCTACAACTCACCATAGTATAGAATCAGTGGAAGCCCTGAGCTTGTTTTCCTGCAACTAGATAGTCCCATCTGGGGGTGATAGGAGACAGTGACACATCATCAGGCATTAGATTCTCATAAGGAGTATGCAGCCTATATATCTGGTGTGTGCAGTTCACAAGAGGGTTTGCACTCCTTTGAGAATCTAATGCCACCACTGATCTGACAGGAGGCGGGGCTCAGGCAATAATGCAAGTGACAGGGAGTGGCTATAAATACAGAGGAAGCTTCACTTGCTCACCTGCTGCTCACCTCCTGCTCTGCAGCCAGGTTCCTAACAGGCCATGGACCAGTATTGGTCTGTGGCCCAGGGTTTGGGGACCCCTGTTCTAGACTGAGCAGGCATAGGGCATGCATGTGCCAGGGGTGCTGCAGGTACCAGGCCAGACTACCTGCAGGCAGACCTGTCTACCACAATCAGAAGTCCTGACAGCCTGTTGGTTATCCTCTTTTGTGCTCATACCGTTCCACAGTGATTGCATGTGGGATGTACGTGCTGAATGCACATTCTGCCCAGTGAATTACAAACACTCAGATGTTGCAGACAAAGTAAAATTTATTGAGACAGACAGAAATGCACCTACTCAGGACTACAGTTAAGCATTTACTATTAACCAAAGAGTTGTGTTCACATTCCAGATAAGTCTACGTGGAAAAGCATTCAGAATTTACTAGGTTTTTGCTACGTCACTATTTCATCTACAATAGGGACAACAAACTGACACTCAGGATTAGATGGGCTCTCATTACAATGCCACACATTGAACAGGGACAAACATCAGTGACTTTGAGAAAAAGGTATATAAAAAGACCAAAACCACCCACTGCAGAACGGGCTCTTGAATGTTACTGTACAGTGTGGTCAAGATAACAAGAAAAAATGCGAGTGGAGGGGGCAGACCTGGACAGACACATTGTCATTTGCTACTGTGGGTAAGAAAATGGGCGTAAAGGAGAAGAAACAAGATACAAAACCTCCAACTCAGTATTAAGGTATTTTCATGCCTAGAATATTGGTAGAAACAATAATACATTCAGATGGCAAACAACTAACCATGGTGGAACAAAATTCTGGGATTTAATTTGGATGCCAAGGAAATTGTATTAAAAGAGCTGTTTATGGAATAAGAATGAAGCTATTCACTAAGAACTTTTCAAAAGTGAGTTAGTGAGGGTTCAGCTTAATATTTGTATCAGACAAGGGACTGGATTATTACGATACTATTTTTTCATCAGTATTTTATGTGTACTTGGTCACTGTACAAGTGACTCCCTGTCACTGGTACCAGTGGGCTTTTTGGGGGTCTCTTTCCAAAAAGAAGAAAGCAAACATTCTACTTCTAAGGATAAGGTAACTCATTCTAATTTTTAGTACTCACGGAAAGTATTAAAGGTCTTTTAAAAATCTAATGCTGTCATGTCAAAGTGAGGCATGAAAAGTATTATTAAAGTGGCTCCATCAATTTGGGGGTTCCAGTTTGAGGAGGGCTTTGTATTTAATATTTTAATGAATTATCTTCTTAGAATGTCTCTGAAAATGTCATCTCATTACCTTACTGGGAATGATCTATTGAGCTCTCTTCTCCATCATTAAGTTAATGCTAAGGATCTTTAAGTGTCATCTTAATTTGATACATCTTAATTTGATACTTGTCATAAGATAATCAGGCAAATTAAAATTAGTGGTTCACCCTGCTCCTAGTTTTTCTAAGTGAAATCAATTTTTCAATTTCAATTTGTTTTCTTGTACATTTGTCTAAACTCAAAGGAGATAGTAACAATGGTTTTCTTTGATGATCTAAACTGGGATTTTAAAACATGTCTTGATTTTTAATATACTTTAATTTTGTTGCAATTAAGTACCTGCTTTCTAAATTACCTTAGTTTTGTTCAAGAACGAAAAAATACTGAAACAAAGGTGATGGAATTGAGATCCCAATATAGAGCTTGCCTATGGTCTGTCTCTCTCTGGGGAAAGTAAGTACAGGTATTGATCGACTTACAACGTATGCAACTTACAACCATTCGACTTTACGACCACAATCGCTAGCCACGACTGCTCCATGTCTGGCAGCGCAAACGTTGCCCAGCTGGGCATACGACAGTGCGGACCAGCTTCCGGCAGCACTACCATCTCCACGTGCATATAGCCTACTCAACTTACGACCAAATCGTGTTACGACCGGTCTGTCGGAACCAATCGTGGTCGTAAGTCGAGCACTAGCTGTATAAAACCTCAGGGTTATTTACGAAGCCAAAGGACTTTGCTATATCAAGTATGTTCATTTCGTAGCTAAGACCAACTAATGCCACTTTATTCAGCCAATGCAAGGATTGGAACATGTTAATTTAAGGTGGGTTGGTACATCGAAATGGTTAGTTTGGGGTGGGGGATTGGTCAGCTGCCACTATGATGTTTTGGCTGAACATACTTCTTGCTTGAGTTCATGTGGCTTTTGTGTGGACAGACTGAAGTTCATGGGGGAAGGCAAGAGACAGACATATGGGCCAGAGAGCCTTGCTTGGGTGGTTGATTCTGATTAGGGCATCCTGGTAGATGAAAGCCAGGTAAGGCAGGAGCTTATGGACTGGTACTGAGTGAAATGGGGAACTTCAGAGACTAGTCTTTGGTACTTGTATCTTGGGTCAGCTGGATAGGGAAAGAAATTCTAAGGAATGTTGAGATGATGACTCTACCAAATTTGGAACTAGACTCCAGTGAGTTTAGTTAAAACACTATGGTGACGAACTTTCTTCGTCAGTATCTTGTAACTTACGGGGAGTGATGGGGGACAGAATTTGCTCTTTAAAACCCAGGGTTTGCTTCCATGTGCTATTATGATGTTCTTTGTAGGCCTCCATTTGGGATTCTTTGTGTGGTTAAGAAAAAGTCTGTACAGCTTTTGTGCCCTTATGATTTGTCACTAGAAAGGGAGTAAAAGCAAAACATTGAGTTCAGAATTAGAAATTTTCTTCCCTTAAGGAACTCCATGGTACTCTCCTCTCAGAGAACAGGGGATATGTGTGCATGCCTTAGAAAAAGCCCTTGAGTAGGTAAGGAAGGAAGGAACCTGTGGCAGACAGGACGGCTGCAGCCAAGGGCGCTTAGAGCAGAAATGAAAGAGATGATGGCTTGTGAAGCGGCCCATGTTGTGTGGGAGTCACATGGCTTCTGTGAGAAAAGTGATTTAGGCAGACGGAGGTTTTTTCTCAGAGGCTTTCAGTAACTGCTGATGCACAGAGAAGAGACCTCCTCAGCCTGCAGGCTACAAGTGCCAACTGTTAGTGCAAAAAAGGACTTTGATACAAATTTCTTATTCCAGAAATTTCGTTCCAGTCTGGACAAGCTGACAAATTTATAATTGTTTCTCAGGTGAATTTTTAAGATAGTCAAACACTTTTTCTGAGAGGTATGTGTGTATGTGCAAAGAACACACACAGTCTTTCTATACATGCATGCGTATTTATGCATGTACAGAGAAGTATCCAGACACTGATTTTTTATAAAATGAATTCCCCAAAGGGAGTCTTAACTGAATTAAGGCTGTTGTTTATAGGAAGCCAGATAGAATGATGTGAAAAAACAAATTTTTAATAATAAACACGAGGAGTAATAAGTGGCAGGGGGGAAAGGTACAGTGTGGTATGTGTGTGTGTGTTTTTTCTTTTTCACAACATCTACAGGACACAAGAAAAGCACTTAGACACTGTAAGGCTGGGAACCATGCTGTAATAACCACCAGTGTGGGTAACCAAAAGGGTCTTTGACGTTTAAGAGGGTGGGGGCTCCCTGCACTGTCAGAATTCCACATAAATCACATGCTTGTTGGAAAAATCTCACAGGAGGGAAGGAGGCTCTAGTTAATCGGCCATTTCCCTATCCAAAAAATAAACAGCAACAAAACACAACACTCTTTCTCCCATACAAACATATGCAAAAATCAGAATCCTCTGGGAACAAGCAGTTGTCTTCCAAACCTTAGGTCGGGTATAGAGAGGAACAATGGAGAAGAGACCTTGGTGCCTTGGAGTCTCAGATACAAATGCAGGAATAGGATGTGACTTGCAATTTTGTGCAAAACTTGTGTCCTCTTTCTTGCGGGCACTACCATATGTACCCGACCTCATCCTCTTTGTCGTCGTCCTCGTCCTCATCATCCTCTGTCACGGCTCGGGTGTGCACCCTCAGCTTCCCCACTTTGTCCTTTGGTCCCAGCTCCCGCTCATCTTCTAGGTCATCCAGCAGGACCACAGAGCCGCCACTGCCAAAATCCCCTGAGGTTTCCTGCTCCTCTTCTGAAAGATTCAAGCATTGAGGTTAGTTTCCATTTATATCACATATCCCATGTCAGCAGTTTTCCCTTTGCATGCGACTTAACTGTGGGTAAAACCAAGCAGTTTACTTTCTAAACACGGAAACATCCCTGCCCCACTGAGGTCAATCTACAGGCACAGATTACAAACTATGTTCTCATAAGAGTTCTAGAATTCTTGAGATGCTCCTACCTTCCCAGGAGGTTTACAACCCTAAATAAGAAGTGAAGGCAGCTGAAGTCGCTCGTTGCCTGCAGCAGTTCTGTCTGACTCCCTTCTCTGGGCATAGTGAGTTCCTGCCACTTGCCAAGCTAGCTACATGTGAGTTCATGTGATTTCAGGGTTACTGTATCTCCATTATAAACTCAATATAGACTGGAGCTACCTCTCGTCATTCTTCTGTGGAGATCCTTACACAGTGAGGACCCACAGGTCAGCCAGGTCACTGTGGGGCTGATGCAGGAGGGCCTACTCACCACAGCTTACAGCACCCTGTTTCCTGGAGCCAGCCAACTCATTCCCATATTTGTCCACACACCAGCACTGCCCCGTGCTGCCATGGCACTGTGTGGCTTTGTAATAGCCCTCCTCATTACACCGAGGTATGAAAGCCCCTGGGGGAATAAAAGGTACAACTTTAATCAGAGATGTGCAGAGATACTCAGGGTTAATGCCCCTCAACACAGGAAAGAGGGCTCACATGTCAAAATATCTGCTGCAGGGCCAGCAGCAGAGGATAGGGATGGTTGGCTATTACTTAGTCAAGATTACAGGGCCCTTAACCTTTGGGAGCCCAAATGCACTGAGTTCTAAGGAGCTCAGTTTTTAAACAGGAATGATACTTCTATTCTGGGCACTGATCTAATCCATGTGCACATATACATATATTTGTGCAATCTCTTATCCCCACAACTCTAAGAGATACTTACCATTGCTACCTTTTAATAAATAGGAAACTGAGGTCTAGGAGAATTAAGTAATCTTCCCAAGGCATCTGCTAGTAAATATCAAGTCCAGCATTACCAATACTTTGCGCAACCACATAAAGTGACATTGCTATAAAACTTTCCATATGCATTAACTATGACTAGTAACAAATGTTCTATGAACTATACCAGTCCATGGATCACACAGTTCCAAGCCATTCCTTGTCACTGTCTTCTAGACTGTAAGAAAGAGGTAATAATAGCTAAGTGCTTTACTTGCATTATTTCATCAAGCCATGCCAATATCGCCATAAGGTGTTGCTATTACTATCTCCCTGTTTACAGACAAAAGAAGTGATAAACTGGAGTTAAACAATGTGCCCAAGGTTAAGCAAAATTCCTTCTATTCCTTCTTTGATTAGTACGAATTTTTCCCTTTAAATCTTGAATGGGCACTACTGTTATTACTTACATGTTTAACGTGAGAAAATCATATGGTTTTTATGGTTTACATACTTTTAACAAGATGGATTACTGGTGGCACAAATTTACAAATATGTCACTAAGTGATTGATATGTTTTGGCTGTGTCCCCACCCAAATCTCATCTTGAATTGTAGCTCCCATAATCCCTAAGTGTCATGTGAGGGACCCTGTGGGAGATAACTGAATAATGGGGGTGGGTTTTGCCCATGCCATTTTTGTGATGGTGAATAAGTCTCATGAGATCTGATGGTTTTGTAAAGGGCAGTTCCCCTGCACCTGTGCTCTTGCCTTACACCCCAGTGATTGTGAGGCCTCCTCAGCCATGAGGAATTGTGAGTCCATTAAACCTCTTTTTCTGTAGAAATTACCCAGGCTTGAGTATTTCTTCATAGCAGTGTGAAAATGGACTAATACAGTGATTGAGGCATATAATTTTATTTCTGTGTTTTCTGCATTGTTTCTATTGATGTTCTTAATTCATAAAATGATTCAGGTATACTCTAGACATTTTTTACAAAACGAGAATGTGTCCTTAAAAATATCTTGGGCTTGGTGCCCATTTTGAGGGGGGTGAGAGTAGCATTTTGATTAATTTCCTGGTTTTGATTTACTTGGGTCTTCTGTTACCAAAATTTGGTAAATGATAGTATCCATTTCATCTAGGTTTTTGTAAGTTTGAGAACCACAATTTACAGTATTCTATAACTGAGCTTATATCGCACATTTAAATTCGTCACTATTTGAGCCTTTTCACGTCTTTATATTGTCACAAATTTGTCTATTTCATTAGTTTATTCAAAAAACTATCTCTGATATGGTATTTTAAGTTTTACTTCACTGTTGTCTGCCTTAGTCCTATTCACTTTGTGTTGTTCTTAAAGCTTTTTGAGTTGAAAATTCAGTTAATTTCATTTTTGTCTTTTTTTAAAAAAATGCATTTAAAGTGATGAAGTTTTCTTAAGTTTACTTTAGTTGCTTCCTATGTATTTGGTAACCATGCTTTCATTTTCATTCATTTCTAAATATTTTGTAGTTTTTACACTCATCTCTGATCAATATTTATTTATGAAACCAAATGTATGGGGTTTAGTAATCTCATATTTTACTTCTGTTGTTGTGGTCAGTAGGTTTGATCTGTGATCATTTGCTTGAAATTTATTGAGTTTTCTTTTGTGATATGGTCTGTGGCAAATATTTGTGTGTGTTTGAAAGACTGGATTCAATGGCTAGGTTCAGGAATACATATATAAGTGTGAATGCTAACAAATCTTTGTTTACTTGAACTGTTCGTTTCAAGAAGAGGTATGTCAAAGTCTCTGAAGACCACTGTGGAGATAAATCCCCCTTACAGTTCTGTTCCATTCTTTAGTCAACAGTGGATTGTATATGTGTGACAATGGTCCCATAAACTACAACAACATATTTTTACACTGCCTTTTCTATGTTTAGATATAAAAATAATCCCCATTATGTTACAATGGCCTGTAGTATTCAGTACAGTAAAATGACGTACAGGGTTGTAGCCTAGGAGCAATAGGCTATACCACCTAGGTTTGTGTGAGTATACTCTATGATGTTTACACAATGACAAAGTGACCTAATGATACATTTCTCAGAACCTATCCCTGTCATTAAGCAAGGCATGTCTACACAGCAACTGCTGGCATATAGTAAAAGCGATATTTCAGCAAGATGACTGTGTTGTAAAAAACAGATATGCTGTGTCAGACATTAATGTTGTCTAAAAAAGAGTATTTACCCTCATTTAATTTCAACTTTTTGTGGAATTATTTTCATATAACTCTCCTTTAAAATACTTATCAATAATAATAAATGTGTTTGGCCTGTTCACATTTATTGTGATTATAGAAATGCTTACTCCTATTTCTGCCACCATATCTGTTTTCTACTTACCATTTTTCCTGCCTTCTATGGAAATCAAATTTTCTTTATATCTTGTCTTATTTCTATAGGTTTAAACACCATGTATTCTAATATTCTTATGGTTATTCATATTTTCCACAGAGGAGCATAGTTTTCCCCAGTAAGATCTACACTTAATCTATATATTCATTTTTTTCATGAACAAACTAGAAGCTTCACACATTCTTACCACCTTTTTCTCACTTCCCCCAATTGTCTGGAATTTTAATTCTAGGTTGCTATAAAACTATTTTTTTGGTCGTATTTATTTAGAGTTAGAAGCATGTCATTTCTTTTTCATTATTGCATCTGAATAATTCCTTCTGGGATCATTTGTTTGGTAGAATAAATCCTTTAGAGATATTTAAGTGAGTCTGTGGTTAGCCAGCTGACTGAATCTTGGATGGTTTCAGAGTATCTCTGCCATTACACTTGAATGATCATTGGGATAAATTTTAAATTGTAGGTTCATAGTTATTTCCCCTCAGCACTTTGAAGATATTTTCTCTTCGTAAGTCAGCATTGTCAACAGTAAGTCTGATGTCAGTCTGATTCTCATTGTGCTGTGGGTAATCTTTATTTATAACAGTTTTTAGTTTTGGTTTTCCTTACAGGGGGTGTGTGTTTCATGATAGTGAGATTGCATCTTGTATGGAAGAATTCTTCCTCTTTGTGTAACCTGGGTGGTAACACCATCTGTATCAGCCTCCTGAAAACAGAGGCTCCTGCCTACCACTGTGGCTTTCTATGTCCTAATTTTGTTTCTGATTTTTGTAAGCGTGCTTACATTTTCCAATTTACCTTTTATTTAGTGGAACAATCCCAGAAAAAAAATAAATAAATAAGGGGGGGGGGGGGCGACAGATTTCTCCTATTTTAAGTCAAGACATAAACCTAGACCCAGCTGACTCTAGGGTCTAGTCTAGAACATGCTACTACCAGGCTATACCAAGATGACCACACTCTGGAACACTATAGCTATCACTTAGGAAGGGCTGCTGATGCCACAGTTGGATACTTAGTGATGGCCACCCTCTTATTAAGGAGTATAAGCCACTGCACATTAGTTTTCAAAGAGCAGTAGATGTTGTCAATAGCCCAAAAAGAGATTTGTGAACAGATTTTTCAATCAAGGACTGCTTACAAAGAGAACATGTAGATAGCTGGCTCCTCCTTGGACCAAAAAACAAAATTGGGTTGAGCTCCGAGGTTGCTAAGAAGCAGGTGCTGCTCTAAATCTACAATGCAATAATTATAGCTGATAATAATTTATTATTGTTTTATTTATTTGAATCTGTATGCCCCTGAACATATAAAGAATTTGTAAGCAAATAAATGGCATTTCTTTCTGAGTCAGCTGGAGTAATCCCCATATGTGGGAAATGTGATAAAGCAAGCTTTAAAACAAAATGAAGTTTATTTTAGGAGTAAGGTAGGCATTTCATTCACATGCAGGGGGGTAAATGGAATATGAGACATCTAATCACAGGTGACCCTTAACAATGAGGCAATGTATAAGATATCTATACTGCATAAAAACAATGTTTTAATAAACGGCAGTGTACTAGTTCTTCAACCACCTGTAGATCATAGGTATTTCACTCAAAATAATACCCCACAGGGAAATTAGATCAATAAACACAAGTTCTTGCACTGGAAAAACCTATGGAGGAGGGATCCAGCCACTTTGCCTTCAGACCAGAAATATATCTTTATGTCCTTTTACTCATGAGAAGAATGTAGACCCAAGGAGTTCAAAATCATGACTTTGGGGAAGTCATCAAAAGTCAAAGGAAGAGAATATATGCATTTTGAGGTAACTCAAAAAAATCATAAGAGGAGAAATCACTGGAATTCACAGACTGCCTACGTTAGACAATCTGCAAGAAAACTTGCCCATTTCCTTCAAATAAACAGAGAAATTCTGAAATGGCAGGCTGCTTAGGGAATGCACCTGCCTCTGAATGCTTCACAGGAATAATTCTGAATAACTGTTAGAGCTGACACCTCTTTTTTTTTAAAAGAAAGGAAAGCAAAGCAGGCTCTTCCCTTCTTCAGCAAACCAATGAGAATTTCCAATGTTTCTATGACAAATGCCAGGACTTCCTCCACATGCTGGAGAAAGGCCGGCTGGGAGCTCTTTAGCCCCTTGAGAGGCCCGCAAGATTTGCATGTTAGGAGAACACATATTCATACAACCCACTTGCTTCCATTGTGTTTAAACAGCCTGCATACCTGCATACGTTCCTGGAGGGACTGCGTGAAGGTAGAAATAGGCTAAAGCACATGCATGTTGTTCAACCCTGTCTGATAAATTCTGAAGAGAGGACAGCTCATCTCTTTCCTTCAACAGATAACCCTATCTAGGGAACAGAGGAAATGCTATAATTTTTAGACCTTATAGTTTTAGCACTGGAAAGAGCACTTGAGAGCACCATTCAATGATTTTACTTGGAAAGAAAAAGCCAAGATTTCTTTTAGCCTAAGATGAGGGAGGAGTTAGCAGTGGGGATGGTGCTAGAGTCCAGCCCTGGCGGAACTCTCTTCTTGCTGAAGGAACACACAGCAATTCTTAACCAGCCAGCCAGTCCTCTGTTTATGTCCAGCTGCCTGGAAGAGCTCTGCCTGGGGGTAAAACAAGGCATTTCTTTCATGAAACACTAGCCCTAATTGAATAACCATTGTCATGCTGATCATTATAAGGGACATGGCTGGTTTAATTAGTTGTTTAAACGAGTGAAGAAATTGTACTTACCCAGCAGGCTTTTCCCCTTGCTCAGCTTCTGAATTCTGTTCATTTCATTCTGGCAAGGGAGACCTAAAAAATAATTTCTGGAAGTCAATTTCCAGATGGCATGGAATATAATCTCTAATGATTGACTTCACTCTTGACGTGAAATGTAGACAATGACACACCTGGGAGGGGAATTGTTCCATATGCTGTTACTATACAACAAACAAATTCAGGCCATTAGTGTGACTAATTACAAAACAAACCTCATACCACAATGCACTTAAAATAGCATTTGGGGGCTACTTGCATTGTATAGAAACGTTTGTTTCTTTCTAGTGCCAACTCAAGCAAATATCAAGTATCTAATAGGTAGTGTAACAGACTTTTTCCTTTCTATCAGGAAGGAAGTAATCAGCCAAGGCTTATTAGTGGGGAAGTGTTTCAAATCCACAAACAAACTAATCAGAGGTGACAAATGCATATGTAGCCTAGGTTTTGCTGTAGGAGCGGATGGATAGGAATGGTTACTTCAGACCTCACGGTTCGCTACCCCTATGAAAGTAAAACACAAATTCATCCCTTGAAGCCAAGGGACAATTATGAAGATACAGAAGAGATCTGGAGAGGCAGGGATGAGGCTTGATATCTAGGCTCTGCCACCTCCCCGCTGAATGCTTTGAGCAGGTCTCTTCACCTGTTCCAGCCTCTGGGTCCTCAGCTGCAAAATGCATGTCATGGAAAAGCAGTTAGTTCCATTCTAAACAAAATGAAAAGTGACCTCATTTGTTCTTCAGAGTTTACCATGACTTGCCTTGGCAGACCTTGTGGTTCATGGTTCTCCTGTCCTTAGCAGAGGGGTTCTGGTTCTCTAAGCTCTTATATTTGGCTGATACTGCCTCCTTCTACAGGCCCCACACTTGCATATAAAGTATCTAAGCAACTATTTACAGCTCTTACCCTGCACAATGCTACCTGGTCTTGGTGCTTGTTCCATGAGAGAAGCTGCTAGTAAAATATATTTTGTTGACTTTTTGTTTTAAGATGCTTTCAGAGTAAAGGAGAAATACATAAACGGAAAACATCAAAGGAAAGGAGAAACAAATTTCATCTGTATTATAAAAGGTAGCATTTATTATGACAGTCCTGGATGCTGTGCCACAGGTAGGGGTTCTGGCTTTCAGCAACCGCAAGAGTAAGTGTAGTCTATCCAGAGATGTACCATGAGGCCAGGTGACCAGCTCTGACTCTCGGTTAAGGCAGTACGTAGCTTTACTCTCAGGACCTGGCACTGTTACCTCCAGGTAAAGCATTAACACACAGGCTCTGTGTTGTAAGGAAACCATGCTAAAAATCACATGATACAATATGAATTCAAACCTAAAGCTGTCACTAGACTTAATGCTGAAAATCACTACAAGTATTTACTAAAATTTTTAAATGGCTATTGTTTTAACATTGATTTTAGATACTAACAGATATAATTAGAAAAGAGAAATAAATGAGGTATAAAAATTAAAAACGAAGAGAAAAATTATCACTATCTGCAGATGGTATGATTGCATACCTGAAAAATCCAGCAAACCAACTGCAATAACGTATAAATAAAACAAGAGCTTTGTAAGGTAGTTGGAATAAAATCGATATTGAAACAACCACCAGGGAGGGAGTATAATGAAAAAAAAAAACCTTTTTCATTTACAATGGTAGCAATAATAAATTCAAGGAAAGTACAATAATTGTTAGGACAAAATTTTAAAATGTAACACCACTGGTTGATAGATCCTGTTCTAAGACAAAATGATTCCATATCATACAGCTATTGATTTTTACTTGATTAATCTAATTTTGTCTGATACTAAAAATAATACCAATAGAAACCGTTTTTAATTGGATAAACAGATGCTAAAGTTCACAGAGGGAAAGAGACATATTAATATCCAGGCAAATTCTAAAAAACAAAATTAACGGCAGCAAAGGATGGTCCTACCAGATATTAAAACATATTATAAAACAACTGTGATTTAAAAGTCTAAAACTGACTTATTAATAGTTTGAATACATAAAAGCCACATTTCAAATTGAAGGGCAAAAGATAGATTAGTTAATAAATGAGAAAAGGGCAACTGGATGACCATCTCCAGGGCTGTCGGGGAGGCTGGGAGCCCGCCTGACTATGTAAACATACACAATCTAGACTGATACAGAATTTAAGTGAGCAGCAAAAACAAAAGGTTTCCTCTTACGAAGAAAACATAAGACATAAAGTGAGGAATACCTTTCTAAGCTTTATGGCGTCTTAGAAGCCAAAAAATAGGGAGAAGTTTGACTGTCTTAAAATTTCTCCCTAGCAAAAATGCATGAACTGAAATTTGGGAAAAATAGTTGCAATATCTATGTCCAGAAAAGTTCCAATTTCCTTAAAAAAACAAGAACCGGATAGAAAAATATACAAAGAACATATAGACATTTCACAAATGTTTCATATGTATAGAAGTTCAGCCTAACTCAGAAAGCTTGGCAACACCATAGAGAATAGCTATTCTCAAATATTTTTGGTGAAAGTAAAAATTGTTACCTCTTTGGAGGTGAAGTCAAGTAGGAAATATTGCTCAATTTTAAAAGGACTTTTGACTAGTAATTCTAAGAACGTATCTTGAAATCCCATACACACATCCTTATTTTTCACTGAATGTCCTTTTATAATGCCTACATTTTTTGTTCTGTGTGTACTGTCTACATATACATGCATAGAACATAAAGTATAGTTGTTTTATATACACAACTTAAATACTTTCCTATTAGCAGCTATCCTCCTTTCCTGGCGGCGGAGTATGTCAGGTATGCCAGCTATGCTTGTGGTAATATGTTCTCCTGAATACCTGACCCACACTGGGTTTTGGGATTGGAATTCAGATGTGGGCCAGTCTCTGCTGGTCCCATTAACTGTGACTACCATACTAGGTGCACTCCTCAGCCAGAGGGAGGCAAAGTGAGAGCACCTACCACTGGCTTCCTGAGAGTCTTCCTGTCGCTACTCTGAATCCCCCTGCAAGCCAACCTGCCTGACTTTGAAATGCCCCGGTATCTTTTCTTCCATTCCCCAAGTTTTGCCTCTTTTATTCATTAGCTGGAGATTATTTATAACTGAAATAACCTTGTGTAGGACACTTAGTATAAATCCGAATTTACCCTAGAGAAACTGACAAGTGGCTTTCTCAATGAGAATAATTTTCATTGTCTCTTACATTTGTAAGGTATTTTTTACATTGACAGCTCACAATGACCTTTGGATTATGTAGTGAAGGTTTCTATACCCATTTTATAGATGAAAAAACAGTGAAGAGACTTTCCCAAAGGGAGGAACAGGCAGAAGTAACTGACTCCTTGACTTATTCTCTTGAGTTTTCTAGTATACCACACTGAAAGCAGAAATAAACTGGGAGAAATGAGACTTTGGGCCTGGCATTAAATGGAATGAATTATTTATCGTCTGACTGTGGCTCTCTGCCCTCTCCATAGTCATATGTGATCCTCCTCTATTCCAGCAAGTCTGCCCTGGGCTAGGGACCCCATGTATCCCTCCCACCTTACCTCCAGGCTTCTGGAAGCAGTAGCACCACTCATTGTTAGAGAGCTTGCCATCCTTGAAGGAGTCACAAGAGTTGAACAGAGGCTTGATACAGGGTTCGTACTTATCCAGGTAGATGGCATTGATCTCTGAATGGTCAAGCAGGAGGTCATAGTTCATGTCCAACTTGTTGAACATCCAGCCCAGGGAGTCCTTGCAGATGGGTAGGATGCTGGTATCAAACCCTGCCAAGCAAAAGGCACATCTCAGCTGCCACCAAGCCTGGTGCTTCCCTCCCTGCTCACTGACCCAAGAAGATGCCAAGACCCAACCCCACTCCCCTCCTAAGGCTGTTTCCTTCCCAGGATACAGATTGAGTGATTCTCTAGAATATTTTGTGAGTTTTATTTTTTAAGTGAAACAGTTTAAAAGTCAGCATTTGAGGAAAATATATTCTAAAGGGAACAAATCCCCAAATGATAATGTATCTGTGATATAAATATGTATTTTCATTTGCTTGAAATGGGGTATGCCCAAAAGAAATAATAGAAACATGATGAGTAAGAGGAGTATAGCTTATGATACCAAAAACTATGCTTTTATATTTCAAAAAAAAATTGAAAAGCCAAAATATCTTTAAAAGGATAGCAGTGAAATGAAACAATATAGCATAATCCAAAAGCACTGATTACATCCCAGAGGACCTTTAAATCCAAGCAGTCTGAACATTAATGGCAAAACAAGCCAGGTGCCTGCCTCTCTTCTCTTCTTCAATCCCCTAAAGAGATCCATGACATGGAATCCAAATCAACTCAGACAATAATTTCTTTCTTATTTCCCTGGGGGAGAAGTCATCGCTTTCTTAAAGCATTATTTGTTTCCACAATGGAAACTGTATGCACTAAAATAATAACACTTAGCTCAACACGCGGGATATTGAGTCCACTGTAGACATGCCCCAGATTTAAAACTCATCTTTCCTTCAGAATCAAAGGTGCCACGAAATCTCCTGTTCCATAAACTGGATTTCCAGGACTAGTTTTATTTTTCTAGAATACCGATAAATGCAATCGTCTGTGTTGCTATGTAGAGGGCATGCTTCTAAGCACTTTGCACTTAATTATCTCACTGAATCCTTGTAACAGTCCTATGAAATGGTGCCACATCATCTCCACTGTACAGATGAAAAAATAAGGCTCAAGGTCATACAATTGTAGAATGAAGATTCAGACCCCGGCAAGCTTAATCCAGAACCTACATATTCTCAATGACTTCTCTGCTAGCCTTCTGCCTGACTTGATCTTCCTGTCCTGAGACCATCCAGTTGGGCTACAGTGTCATGTTTAGGGATGGGCAGTGCAAGGGGTCCTGCTGGGGTCTGTTGCCTACAGCCTGGTCATTAAGTTTCTGTGTGCATCACTAGGAACCCCTGCTTAGTGAAATGTAGGATATAGCAAAGTGTACCCACTCTTTTTAGAGTACAGGTAGCATCTTTGCAGAAAAGTCTTCATTGTCCAGGAGCCAAATAAGTGCAGCGTCTCCTCCTCTGAGCTTTCTTAGAACGCTGTGCTTCCCCTCATTGTCCATGCTTGTTAATCAGACTATAGGCTCCCTGAGGGAAAAGACTGTCTTGTCCCCTTCAGCAGCTTCAGGCATGAGAGGCATGTAGCGTTCAATTAAAAAAAAAAAATGTTGGGAGAAGTTTTCTAGCTGCTGCAAACTCTATTGCTTTAAACATAAAATCTTTCCATTTTTAAATGTATTCATTATCTTAGAACACATTTTAAAACACCCTCTATTTTCCAGAGAGGCTATGGGCCATAACGTGGCCCCTTCTTTGAACGTCATGATTGTCATCAGTCTTTGATAACGCTGTCCTCAGGGGCTGCTGAATAAGAGATAATTTGCTACACGGCTCTACACTTTTGTATAGAATACTGACATTTTAATACACAAAGAGGAATTTACTGCTGACTGGTCTCCAAAAAGAAATGCCAATCTGGTTGGGCAGTAGTCAAAAAGTCAAGCCCGGTGCAGCACTGCTAGAAACGTGGTGCCTCATCTGACATCTGTGGTTGCCTGGCATACAGGGGTAAGGAGAGCAGCCCTTCTAGCTGGCCCCAAGAGTACAGGTTCAAGCAAGGGTCCCGGGCTTCCCCTTCAGAGCTCCTGGACTCAAACGCCACTCACTCCTCTGGCCTTGTGCGCTAACCAAGCATCATTCTTTGACATTCCCTTCACTCCAGTTGCTTCAGGATATCAAACCTAAAAAGCCCCTTCAGGGACTCAATTTGCTTCTGGGCAAAGGCAGGTCTTTTGGAGAAATCTCCAGAGACTGGAGGCTGCAAGCAGCAGTTCTCCTCACATCAATCTGCTTTTTGTTGAAAGGTTGTTCAGAAAACCCCAAAGTCCAGCTTCTCCTAGAGGATCCAGGGAAAAAAATCTTATTTTGCTTTTCCCACAGAAACAACCACCAAGAACGACTTTTGGGACTTAAATGCTATTTTTTCCTTAAGATAAAAGATCCCAAATATTTCAATAATTGTCCCCCTGGATCGATGTTCTCCACTGATATCTCTGGAAGGTTATGAGCAGCCAAGAATAACTAAAAGTTAGGGAGATCATTTTTGTTTTGGCCGAAGACCAGATGCTAGTCAACCTCTGGACAATCTCAACAGTTGCTACTCTAACTTCTTACCTACTGCATTCCATCCACGAGCATTACTTTCAGAAACCCCAAACAAGTGTGGGATCAGGTGAAATGCTCTATTTTAAATGATGTGCTTTTATATTTTGACCAAATAATATCAAAATGGCTACATAGAAAAGGCTGTGGCCAAACTACATGTACCAAACAATTGTGTTGTTTAGTAATCTATTCTGTGCTGACTGGCCACAGTGTGGGGAAACCTATTCCCTGCCTTTGAATGAAAAGCATCAAAGAGACTCCATCAATGTGCAAATGTAAGGGCCCACTCTGAGTGTTTGCTGCAGCTTATGACAAAGCTGAGTATGGTCTCTGCCAGCGCAGCAGCTGACGCCAATGGGAGGCCCCTTGAGCAATCTGCCTGTTACAGATGGGGAAAGGAGACACCTGTCTGGGAGTTTCTGTGGTAGACAATATGCGGTCTATTGTACACAAAGACACAGCACCAAAGATGTTTGCTACTGTGTTGCTTCTACTAACCTAACCCTGGTAACAACCTAAATGTCCCTAAATAAAGACCAAATTAAGTAAGTTGTTATGTCCATAAACTGCATTCTGTGTAGCTATTAGAAAGCAGAATACTATTCACAACATGAAAACATAGTCACATTTCTACATGGTAAAAATTCATAAAACAGTTTGGAAAGTATGATTCAACCTTTGTAATTATACACACACACTTTCGTATATGACACTGAAGAAAACCTCAGAGTATGTACCACAGCATGCTTATGGTCATTAAAATAGTAAGATCATATATTTTTTCCAAAATGCCTAAACATTTTTGTTTTTGTTTTTGAGATGGAGTGTTGCTCTATCACCCAGGCTGGAGTGCAGTGGCGTGATCTCAGCTCACTGCAACCTCCACCTCCCGGGTTCAAGTGATTCTCCTGCCTCAACCTCCCCAGTATCTGGGACTATAGGTGCCACCATGCCCAGCTAATTTTTTATATATATGTATTTTTTTTTAGTACAGATGGGATTTCACCATGTTGCCCAGCTTGGTTGCGAACTCCTAAGCTCAGGCAATCCACCCACCTCGGCCTCCCAAAGTGCTGGGATTACAGGTGTGAGCCACCACACCCAGCCTACTAAACATTTTTTAATCCAACTCCTTTTTCTTGGGACCTGTATAAAGTCAAAGTATATATTCAATATAGTAGGTGTTTTTTTTTTTTGCCCCCAAATGATATTGCTAACCTTAAAACAATGTCTAATAAATTGAAATGTGATATTTAAAATAAATGAGCAAAAGTCAAATGATCTTACTGCCTTGGGCTGTGTTGGAGCTGGTAGGCTTGATGACTCTGTTTGCATCCTCGTGAAGAGCTCCAAACCAATCCTTCAGCCGGGAAGCAAGGTTCCGCAACTCCTTGTCTGTGCAGGCTAGAGAAAAGCAAGCAGAACAGACAATGAGTCTGGGGGCTTTCTGCCCGCTGTGTGCAGGGCTACTGGCAAAGCCATGTTCAAAGCAAATCCTTCTATCCAACCATGACATAACTCCTACCTCACTTGGACAACACCCCAAAGATGCTGTTAGCACAAATAAAGAGACGGACAAAAAGAGACCCTAGACTCCCAGGGCAAGCAGCCATTGTTCTGAACTGAAATTGGATGGCCTCCGTGCTGTGAAAGCAAGCTGCGGTGGTCTCACAGCTGTGTCACATCCTGTAAAGACCATCACACACCAACTTTGCTAACCACATAAAGCTTGCTCTTGCAGTTTTGCCAGAAAAGATTACATTTACCACTAAACTCATGCCAAGAGATTAACATACAGGCATAGCCAATGCTTTTAGAGAGAGGCTGCCTAGGACACTAAAAGATCCTAGTAATAGCAGACGCTCAATTTTGCTTTAGCCCAAGGTTTGGATTTGTGGATTGGGCCTATTTTGCTAGCCTTCCTACGGCCTCGTTCTTGACTTTCCACTATAAACAGATGGATCCCTTTTCCATGAAAGTGTCTTTTCAGCTCATCTATAGCTATTTAGCTCATTTCTTAAGAGTCAGACAGAGTCACTGGGGCAGACAGACACTCCTGAAAACAAGAAAATCCAGACAGATGGATGGGTGGTCAGGTGAGTATGCGGGTGCAAGCTACTGAAGGTCTTGTAGAGTGATAAGACTTGAGGAAAGAAATCCCAAAGGGAAAAAAAAATGGTGCAGAGAAGGAAGTTGACTTTCCCTAGCCCCTCAGGGCACATGCTAATTCTGAATACTGATAAAACCAGCAAAGGGTCCAGGCAGTCGGCTGGTACCGAGACCCAGAGAACCCAGCAATGAGTTTGGGTCCTTTAGCATCTGGAGAGAGAAATTAAAGATCTGAGGAGCCAAAATTTCAATGAGTAAAAAGGGACAAAGAACAGAACCCTGCTTTTGTAACTTTTCCCAAATTCTAAAGCTCCAGGAGCAGACTGCTAAGGAGTTAAACAGAAATGCTGTTACAAGGCACAACCAAGTTCTGAATGTCTCATAGTGCTGAAGAGACGCAGATTAGGGCTCAAAACCTACCAGTGCTGAGGGAGCCCAGGGGGAATCCCTGGGTCTTCACTGGAAGCCATAGGGACAGTGACAAAAAAGGAGTAGACACAGCCTCAGGAAAACTCCAAGCTAGCCTTCAGTCAACACAGGCCTGATTGATTTAAGGTGATCAGCTCTCATCTGCCTGCCTTTTAAAAAACAACGTGAAACTTCTTGAGAAGAAAATAATACCATGCAGATCGTCTCCTCATTTTTATCATCCACATGTGCTTATCAGGCAAGCCCATTTCTCACCCTAGGGCTTTGATGCAGAACCCAACTTCCCAGAGCTCAGGCAGAAAAGGTCTTTCTCCACTCTCCACGTTAGGGGAGAGGCAGCCAGGCCCTGACTGGGTGTTTGCAACCTAAGGACTCTCATTTACAACACTGCCTTCTGTCCAGGTAGGATCCAGACTCGATACTCTGCAAAGCATGGAATAAATGTGTGTCCAGTGTTTATACCCCAGTTTTTAGTGACCTGAAGACACTGCCTTGCTTTACCAACCAGAGTATGGTTGTATTTTAAAACACCAGCCAGGAAACAGCACTGAGAAATGTCTCAACAGGCAGCAGAGCATAACTTCTCAGGAGTCGTGCTGGCTGGAATGAATCCCAGCTTTGCCACTCACTGGCTGGGTGACCTCAGACAAGTCAGCCTCCAGCACCTCGGCCTCCTTAACTGTAAAACTTGGGATAATACTGTTATGTAACTGTACATCAGACGATGTATATAAATTTCTTAGCAAAGTACATGATATACCGTAATTACTCAGTATGTGCCACCTAAGATTTTGATTGCTATTCCTATTCTTAAATTGAAGATTTATAGGTAACCCTAGGGCTAGCGTCACAGCATTTAGAAAACCAACAACAAATCCACCTACACACAACTGGCTTTAGCCACATAAGAAATCAGCAAAAATAGATGCTTGTGTTATCTAGTAAGCTGCCATTAGCCATATATATGGCTATTTACATTAATTAAAATTAAGGCCAGTTGCAGTGGCTCATGCCTTTAATCCCAGCACTTTGGGAGGCTGAGGCGATGGATCACCTGAGGTTAGGAACTCGAGACCAGCCTGGCCAACATAATGAAACCCCATCTCGACTCAAAATACAAAATTAGCTGGGTATGGTGGTGCATGTCTGTGATCCAGGTACTTAGGAGGCTGAGGCAGGAGAATCACTTGAACCTGGGAGGTGGAGGTTGCAGTGAGCCAAGATTACATCATTGCACTCCATCCTGGGCAACAGGAGTCGAAACTGTCTCTAAAAATCAAATTTTAAAAAAATAGATAGTTCCTCAGTTGCACCACTGCATTCAACAGCCCCACACAGCTAGTGACCTCCACACTGGACAGCACAGATGCAGAATCTTCCCACCACAGCAGGCTGTTGTGCTGGGTGGCACTGAATCAAGCTCGTGATCATTCTGGGCTAGCTAACATTCCGGAGTGTCATCATGATATTCTGACATCCAAGTCTGTTCCTGTACTTCTTCCCCTCAGCTGTTTAAGATGGGCTGAGAAAAAAGATAAGCCCCCACCAGCCAGGAACCAGCATCTCTTGCTAAGCTATGTTCCCAAATAGTAGGGAAGGTAGTTGTTTAGTTGTTATGAAGGTGGAGAATCCTGGCTTAGCCCAGGTGCAGAGGCAGATCCTCAGGAGCAGGCCCACCCATCTCGCTTAGGGGCCCCAACTCAGAGCCTCAGGGGCACTGGGTGTTCACTTTTCTGACACTGCCCTGCTTAATAAGCAGAGAGAATGTGGCCTTTTTTTTTTTCTGGAAGGAAATAGGTTATGCACTCTATAGTCAATTTCACATTTGAAAATGGGAAATTAATAGCCTCTTTTTTTTTTCTCTATTGCCATGCACACCATCTATTCTAAACATTCTCTGAACAGAGAAAATTGCCAAGTCAACGTGCAGAGGAAATCTCACTCTACAAGATAAATTAGTCAGTCGTACTTAACTAAACCCTGACAGATGTGCAAGTAATCTGTATCTTTACAAGACTGCTAGATTTTCCATCAGCTTCCCACAGTACACGGGCATTGGATGGCTGATGGGATCAGGCACTGGAATCCTGAAAGAATGTATCTGTCACTCGGGGACAAGTCCACCAGCAGGGAGCCACTGGTGTGGGTCGAGAGAGATCAGAAAACTGAAATGGAGACAGGAGGCTCTGAAATACTGGGTCCCATTCACTCACAGCATCTTCAACTGAATGGTCCTTATGAGGAGAAAGTCAGGGGCAGACTGCCTGGAGCTGGGTACATCCCAGAGAAGGAAATAATCAAAGGCAGCAGCCTGCAGAGGGCTATTTTTTCAGATTTGGTATTCCACCCACAATACACAGGCTGGTGATGGGAGAAAAGTGTCTGCCTTTTAAGGTGCTCATCACTGCCCCGATAAAGGTGTGAACTGGGGATTAAAGCTTTCAGAAGTGGGGACCCAGAGGATACATCCCACACACTTAGTGCATTCCCAGGGAAAAGTAATGTTGGTGGGGTGAAAAACATAGTCACATATCCCCCTGCTATTCTGGGGCCATTGTGGCATTCTCATTCTACCCTGCGGCAATCCTGGCGATTTCTGGAGAGAGGTCCTGGTGAGAGGAGCAGGGCACTCAGGCCACCGGCATCAGACTCTTCAGAGGAAAACACAGTGCTTTCTTGGGAAAGGATTTGGATTAATCATGAAGACTAAGACCTGCTTTCTTGTGCTCTCCTTACCCTCCTGGGTGGACACATGCTAGCTAGCCCTCTAATTCTCCCATTTTCAATTACATTCCTTCCCACCTTTCATCCTGGTTTCAGCTTGATTTTCACTGCTCTCATGCTCCCAGTTCTCTCCTCAGCATCCCACTTCTCAGTGATGTTTCTCCATTTGCCCTCCTGTTGCTACAGGTTACAACGCATCATTTTTACACAATCTCCATCTGCTCCAACAGGGCTGGTGTGTGAGCCGCATCTCTGGGATCTGCTCCCCGGCTTCATATCTGCTTGTTCCCATAGTGTTCTCACCCATAGGCAGGTGTTGAACAATGAGAACACATGGACACAGGGAGGGGAGCACTACACACTGGGGTCTGTTGGGGGGAAATAGGGGAGGGACAGCAGGGGGTGGCGAGTTGGGGAGGGGATGGCATGGGGAGAAATGCCAGATATAGGTGAGGGGGAGGGAGGCAGCAAATCACACTGCCACGTGTATACCTATGCAATAATCTTGCATGTTCTTCACATGTACCCCTAAACCTAAAATGCAATTAAAAAAAAAAAAAGAAAGAAAATGGTTCCAGCAGATACTCACATTCTCAGGGTAAACACTTGGCAATTGTCCCAGTTTACAGTGAAAATTTTCACTGCTTCTTATCTCCACTGCCTTTATTCTAGTTTCTGAAGCCACTACTACCTCCCACCATGACAACTGGGAACAGACTCCTAATCAGTCTCCCATCTTGCCATGTTCCCTTCTCCATCTGGTAGCCAAAGTGATCTTTCTAAAATGGACATTTGATCAAGTCACCCTCCTGCTCGAGACACTTCAGAGGCTCCCAGTTATTCTGTAGGTTAAGTCTAAACAATTCTCTAATATGAGCTAAATGGCCTGCAGGACACATGCATTGAAGAACCAAATCTCTCTTCTGTATCTGATCCTCCTCAGCCCTCACGCTCTGACCTTACTGCCCCTCCCACATACTCTTCCACTGGGAAACAAACACCTCTTCTCACTGCCTTGCTAATGACAATTCCTCCATCAGATCTCGGCTTTAAGGTGACATTTTCTTAGAGGACTTCCCTAATCCTCAAACTTGAATTTTCCCTTTCCTGCACTCCTAATGCCTTCTCAAATGGCACTCATC